TTTATTATTTAATAAATCAAATGATGAACCATATACGACATGGTTATTAGGCAGTACTATATCCAGGAAAGGAATAGTATGCAACTATAAATAAGAAAGTACCCCTGTGGTGAAATCTTTGGGTTATATCACTATATAAGAAAAACAAGTGTAGAGGGGTATACAGACTTTTAATTTATGTTTATATAAAAAAACACAAAGCTAATTATAGTAGAAGAGGCATTAGGGGCAAATACATTGAGAACATGGGCAGGGATGAGTTTCATTTTTTTGGAGAATAGATTTTGGTGCCATATGAATTATACCCACACATAAAACAGAAAAGAAAGTGCTGGCCTTAATTTCTCCAGGAGACCATCTTCTTAAAGTCCTGTGATGGGCTAAGCCTGGGTCTAACAGGATCCTCAGAGCAGTAGGTACCCAGAAAGTCCCTAAAGCAACTTACTCTGTCAAAAGGCAGTTGGCCAGGTTTGATGTTAGATGAAACGGAAAAAGGGTTCCATTAAAAGTTAATTTGAAGTACCCCTTCTTAAGCCCCTGATCTCCCTGGGAGAGTCAGTGCTGTTCTCAGGGCTGGGCCCTCACAGCAGCTGCTGGGCTCCTTTGGATTTTATCAGCAAGCCTGACAATCACCTTTGTAGAAACCCTTTGGATGTGAAGACGAGTTCGTTCAGCTTGTTTCAGGAAAGAATCAAGAATCTATGAAATAGTGATCAAGGGCAAACTGAAGCAGATCATTCTACCATCCAGGTGGCTTCATATGCTGAAGGGGAAACCCAGTTTTGTTCAAATTTCTTTGGTTTTGACACAACAAATCCTGCACCTTGTCCCTCAGATAGCTGTGTCAGTTGCCACTCCAGTCTCCTGAGTCCATTTCTTGGTCACTGGCCAAGCTCTTTTGTTACCTGCCACCTGCCTGGACTGTCTGGAGAACATCCTAGTGGGCTTCCTACCATTATCACTAGCCACCTAACCAGCCTTCTAGTGAATCCACAAAGCATGCATCTTCCCCCAAGAGGATACTGACACCGTTTAGAGCATCATAGGGTCCATCTATTTCTGGTCTGTTTCTCTCCTACCTACTCCCTGCTTACATTTATGTATGTGTGTGTGTGTGTGTGTGTGTGTGTGTGTGTGTGTGTGTGTGTGTGCACAGCTGTGGAGGTAAGAGGAAAACTCAAAGGTATCAGTTTCTTCCTTTCTCTGTGTGGGTCTTGGAATCAAACTCAGAACGTTGGACTTGGCAACAAGCACCTTTACCCACTCCCATATGATTTTGTTTTTTAGAAGACCTAAGTGACTGTGCCGATCACCTTTGCTCTCTGGTCATACCCTCCATAGATTTAGCTCATCTGACATTCCCACGGGGGTGTATGACCTTCAGGCTCTGGTTCAGACCTCCCAGCCCGTTCCCATCATTTGCTCATTCTGGAACCCTGTATTGCAATGTTCAAGTCAAGCCCAAAGCTTGCTAAGCCTTCTAAGTCTGTCAGTGAGGTGGCCACAGAGCACCAGCATAGACACCAGAAGCCTTGCTGTCCTGGTCTCCCTTATACCCTGGCCCCTGCTTCTGTAAATGTTCTTCTGCCACAAAAGCCCTAGCAGATTCTTCTTGCCATTGGCTACAAAATGCAGCCTAGATGCCATGGACTTCACTCCCACACAGGGCCCCTGGCTTCTCTCCAATGGGATGGATGGCTCTTACTGCTATTTGTTCTCCATTGTGATCCACCAATAGCTACCATAAAGTGCTCTCTCGCTCTCGCTCTCTCTCTCTCTCTCTCTCCCTCCTTCCCTCCCTCCCTCTCTCTCTCCCCCTCCCTCCCTCCCTCTCTCTGTGTGTTTTGTGTGTGTGTGTAAGAGAGAGAGAGAGAGAGAGAGAGAGAGAGAGAGAGAGAGAGAGTCTTACTCTCTAGCTTACAACTCACAACTATCTTGGCTTGAGCGTTTGGATTACAGGCATGAGTCACCAAGTCCAGCATAAACCTAGTGGGTCTTGTTTAAGTGCTTCAATCCAGATCCTAGCATGTATGTAAGAATTCTTAATGAATGAGTCAACTGACATTTTGGTCAGTGAGTCAGTGAGTGTTTCACTGAAGGGAAGTTCCTTAGTCATAGTGTTGGCAGCCAGTTGCTTCCAAGAGGAACTTTTGCTTCCCCTCAAGTGTTTACTTTTACTCTGAATATACAAGAGCAGGCTGGAGCAGCTACTGTTTCATAGTAGCTGAGGAAAGGGACTTTGGAGAAATGTGGAAGGCAGATGTGTCTGAAACCCTGGAGAAGATGAAGACCGGGTACCAAACAGAATAAAGTCCAAGATTCCTCCCAGCTCCTAAACTCTGGGAATGCTGTGTGATCCTGTGATTGGCCAGCTTCCAGGGCAAGAATGCAGACACTAGCTCTTGTCCATTCAACATTTTTTACTTGATCATAGATAGTCTTAAAATGCCATTTCAGCTAGACATGGTGGCACACAATTATAACCTCAATACTGCAGAGGGTGGGGAGGATTATGAGTTTGAGGCTAGCCTAGACTGTTACGTATGCAGCTTAAAAAAAAGCCTAAACAAAAGTGGAGAAACAAAAATAAGTAAGTAAGTAAGTAAATAAATAAATAAATAAATAAATAAAATCTCCAAGCAAATAAAAGAAAAGTGTTATTTCAATGTGCCTTTAGTGTAATATTAAGTATGTGACTTGAAATCTGCGCATATATATATATATATATATATATGACTATATTTAATTACTATGTTGTAATTTATAAGGTTTTTGTGTTTATATTCAAGTATTTGATTTGTTTTTAATTTTGTTTAAGGATGTTTAGCCCGCTTTGCTTTGTCTGCGCACCAGATACATGCAGTGCTCGCGGAGGCCAGAGGAGGGCGTCCGAGCCCCTCGAACCGCAGTTCTGGACATGTGTAAGCCTCCGCGTAGGTGCTGGAGACAAAGCACCTGCCCACTGAGCTCTCAGCCTCTAAGAGCTGTTTTTACATAATTCTCTTGTCATAAATATTGCAAATATTTATTCAGGTTGCCATTTGTCTGTCTGAATGGTTTTATTTTCTTCAAAGAAAGTCTGATACATTGCTAGTTTTCTCTTGTGTGTAAGGAAGGAATGAGACTGTCCCTTGGGAACGTTAGCCCACCCACAAGCCTATACTTCTCCCGGTAAACATTTCTGTTTTCTTTTTATGTCTTCATGGGCTTCCTTTTTTTTCTTCCAGCTGAAGTGTGACTATACTTTTCTTTCTGGGTTAAAAATTCATAGCTAGCTAGTATTCATTGAGTAGGAAAGATCACACAATGTAGAGAAAGTCTGTCTTTGACCTTTCACGGAGCTGCAGTGGTCCCTAGGTACTACTGAAGAGAGCGTGGGACGTGGAGGGAGCCCTGAGCGAGTGAGGTCCTGAGTGAATTTGTATTGTTGACGTAATACAACCATGTTAAGGACCTGATGCCCCATACTTAATGGAGGAGGAGCTGAGGCTTGGAAGGAGACGGCAAGTGCAAATGCTGACAGTGTGTGCAAACGCTATCAACCACAGTTTCCTCCTCCCAGACGACAACAGCCAGAGATTGCTTCCCCAGAGAACCCTCCTGTCACGATTGGCTAAACCCGTTTTCTTGTTCAGCTGTGTGCTCTAAGTCTGCCTTCTTATTCAGCTGCGCACAGTAAACCAGCCTCCTTGATGCGGATTTCACATGTATAAAATAAACACTCTGAGTTTCCAAGTTGCTTTTGCAGTAGGCGCTGCACCACCAGAGTGAGCATAGCCCACCTGACCCCAGATTTCCTGTACACATGTCCGTGTCTGTCCTTCATGCCCTCATTGATCAAGGCAGATTTCCAGGACCAAGCAGTGCTGGTCTTGACAACATAGACCACCTACCTTAGCCAACCCTCCTACACAATAGTGTAATGTTTTCATACATCCTACACACAGCATCTGGTATATTTAAATCACTTGTACATTGTTTATACAATTGGCCTTCTGCTTATTCCAGCATTGTTTTAAGGGGAGTCTGCACAGGTTCAATCCAGATGCAATTATTTTTTTAATACCTCCAATCTGCTGTTGATTGGATGTTTGGAAGGCATTATATCAACAAATATCCCAAGGTCTCTGCCTTCCAGGTTCTTAGGAGGATTGTATTCTTGACTCTCAGGGTTGGTCAAATCGAGGTTTTGATAAGTCCTAAGTAAATATGCCATCAGTATCTCTTGTGCCAGGATGTTTAATAACTAATGTAAGCCTTCTAGAATTCTCTTTTACGTTGTATAATGATTGATAATGTTCAAGATGGTGGCTCCTCTTTGATCCTTTGAATGGCCAGAATAAATAAAGCTCTCAGCCGGGTGCTAGTTGACTTACTTCTGTAACACAAGTGTTTGGGAGGCTGAGGCAGGAAGATTGTTTAGAGTTTGAGGCCAGCCTGTGATACAAAAACAATGAGTTCCTGGCCAGTATGGGCTAAGGAGTAAGATCCTGTCTAAGAAAAAGAAAAAAAGAAAACATACAAAAATAAAAATTAAAAGCCAGACCGTTCCTGTTCCAGCTCTATTGGCATGCAGTGTAAGCAGCAAATAATGTTCTTTTGAGACATGATCTAGTTGGCCTGGAATCTACCTTGGTTAACTCTCTCACCTCTGCTTCATGGGGTTACAGACGTGCACATTAAGTCCAGCTAGACAAACACACTTTTAATGCTGTAAGCCACTGGGATCTCAGGGCTGCTTGTTTCTGAAGTTCAACCCAGCTCACGCTGCCTGAAACCTATCCTCTTTCAATGCCTCAGTTTGATCTCTCCCTTTCTTCAATCTGATTTCATTGTCATCAAGTGGCCTCACCTTCCTCGGTTGCTTGGAGAGGACACGGTCTTTCACACCAACTGTAGTGACCACAGAAAAATATAATTTTAGAAAAAAAAGATGCAAAGTGACTCCATATTTGACTCCATGGTAACCTTATTTTCTCAGGTAATCTCAATCAGACAAAATGTTTGCCAAAGCAACTCGGAATTTTCTTAAAGAAGTTGACGCTGGAGGAGACCTGATTTCAGTGTCACACTTGAATGACTCCGACAAGATGCAACTTCTAAGTCTGGTGACCAAAAAGAAGAGATACTGGTGTTGGCAGAGACCCAAGTACCAGATTTTATCTGCCACCCTGGAAGATGTTCTCACAGAAGGGCACTGTCTCAGTCCAGGTACGTTTTCTTGTGAAGTTCAGCGACTAGTCCCGAGACCAAAAATGACTCTTCTAGGCATCTGGAATGGAAGTGTGCCTTACACAAATTCTTCTTTTTCTTGGCTCTCTGGTGTAAAGGGATATCCTTCCTAATGAGTACAGTTATGCACACCTGAATGGTGAATGACTGGAATGTCGTACTTTAGTGTTTTAAAGGTGATGGTCAGTTTGGGTATCAAAGTTCATTGTGCTGATCTTAAATGTTAGAGTCACTCAGCAGAAATGGGACGGGTGGATCCCCTATACAGAATTTGGTTTTGTTCTGAGACTAAAAATGCTGCACACTGATCATAAGGTCACGAAGAGTGTTGTTTCTTATCTAATGATGCTTTCTGAGGGGAGCAGGGCAGTCTCCCAAGTTGATCCAAAAGTAGCTGCAGAAGGCTTGTTAAAAAGATTGGTTTGGCATTTTTGGTAGCAATTTGTAGTGAGAATTCTGGAATTTTGGTTTCTTTAAAAAACACAGAGATATTTTAAGAATATGTTTCCATTTTAATCCTTGGCATGGGGGATATGGGGCTGTTTTGCAGCAGCTGACTGTGATTTGCCTCGTGCTCTAGCAGAGGCAAGGTTTTGACAGCTGGAGATTATTTCTGAGATTGTGTGACCTTTGGAATTCTGGGAACTTTACAGGGGCTATATAAATAAATGCTAGGGCCTCCATGAAGCAAGGTTGGTGGTTGATGATCATTTGGAGGGTTGATAGCAATTTGTTAGTTGTGCTCAAAGAAGAAACAGGAAAAAAGAAATTAGATTCAAGGATCTCTCTCTTCTATCTAGTGAAAGGGAGTGAAATGTGGGAGGAAGTTAAACAGTAAGAAAAAGAACCCACCAGGGTTGCTCCTATTTTACTGTGTGTCTCTCTGTCTTTCCTTTGTGTCTGTCTGTCTGTCTGTCTCCGTGTGTGTGTGTGTGTGTGTGTGTGTGTGTGAGAGAGAGAGAGAGAGAGAGAGAGAGAGAGAGAGAGAGAGAGAGAAAGGAAAGAGAGAGAGAAAGGAAAGAGAGAGCATGTACATGCACCAGAGTCATAGTGGGGCCAGTTAAGGTCAGAGACAATCTCGGGTGTCAGTCTTCACTACCTTGTCTGAGACTGGGTCTCCAGCTGTTCTCCCACTGTCTGATATGGTGTGTGGACCAAGAACTTCTGAGGATTCATTCTCCTGTTCCAACTCACTGCAGGCATGCTATGTCTAGCTCTATAGGTTCTGCGGATTTGATCTCAGGTCGTCCTGTTTGTGTGGTGAGTGCTTTTGCCCACTGAGTCATCTCTTCAGCCCCTCTGGGCTTCTAATCAGTTTGTACAGATATGCAATAGAGAGAGAAGAGGGCCGATGATGGGCGGGATGGCCGTCGTTTGTTGTTAGAGAGCACATGGATTGTCTACAGGATCCTCATCTAGTCTGTACCACATAATGTTTGGTCAATGGCAGGCTTCATCCTTTTGGGATTCCGTAAGATTGCCTAGTGATGTCTGAACCATCTTGGTTTGGATAAGAGCTAAGATTACATTGACTAGTGATGTCTGAACCATCTTGGTTTGGATAAGAGCTAAGATTGCATCGACTAGTGATGTCTGAACAATCTTGGTTTGGATAAGAGCACTCTACAATGTCTCAGCAATGAAGAAGTCACCTAAGAATCCATTTTTTGACAACTTGACCCTGTTGCTAAGTAGCACATGGCTATGTTTTACAAACATACAAAGAGATGAAAGAAAAAAGCCTTCATAATCAACAGAAATATACCATTATATGACGATATCCATTAATACATACATGTGGTAATTTTTAACTGCATCTAATAAAAACATTGTGTGTGTGTGTGTGTGTGTGTGCACATACATGTACATGTGTCAGCTAGTCAACATTAGGTGTCTTTTTATCATTCTCCACTGTATTGTTTTGAGACAGGGTCTCACTGAACCTGGGTTAGACCACCAGGCCTTTTCTGTATGTGTGCTGGGGATCCGAACCCAAGCCCCCATTCCTTTGCAGCAAGCACTTGACCCATCTTCCCAGCCCCACAGCTAAATTTGTTTTTTAAAAACAGGAGTAGAAAAATTCTATATACAATTTTAATATACTCTGCATTTATTGCTTATTTAATATTATGTACCTTTTCCTTCATAGATTTAGATATTTTAAATTTTATTTTAATAACACATACTGTCCCTTTGTGTATGATTTGATCAACTATTTTGATTAACCCTAATTTGATTAACTATTTGTGCTTAATAAGTAAGGCTGCGATGAACATTTTTGTCTGTGATTTTTAACTTTATTTTTTAAGACAGTTGCATTAGCATGCTTTCCCAAGCTTCCTGGGCCAGAAGTGATTGGTTTGTTTGTTTGTTTGTTTGTTTGTTTTGGTTTTTCAAGACAGGGTTTCTCTGTGTAGTCTTGGCTGTCCTGGAACTCACTCTGTAGACCAGGCTGGCCTTGAACTCAGAAATCCCCTTGTCTCTGCCTCCCAAGTGCTGGGATTAAAGGCGTGCGCCACCACTGCCCAGAACCTGATACTCCTTGCTATCTTTCTGGAACATGGTGATGTGTGACAGTATTGACAGCTCATAATTATTGGATGAAACAAGGTCTAATTTCTCCTTCCGTAGTAAATGTTCAGATTTTTGTGATTGTGTACTAAAGAAAAGGGAGCTAGAGTCTCTCACCTAGATCTGTAGTCTGCACTCTTGCTTTTGGACGAAACTCCGCCCCACTCCGCCATGCCCCCTCACTGCCCTCAGCTAATCACGGGAGCTGCTACAGACCTCAGCCAATCACAGAAGCTTCCACAGACCTCAGCCAATCACGGGAGCTGCCACAGAATGGGGATGGAGTGATCTCAATTTCACAATTTCCCTGTGCATTAGCTGCTTTTCTGGTTTCTGTGACAAACTACCTGACAGGAAGCAACTTAAGGAAGAAATGCTCTATTGTAGCTCACAGTTGTATGGAGCACTAGGTGAGGAAGTCATGGCTGCAGGAGCTTAAGACTCCGCTGGCCACGCTGCATCCACAGCCAGGAAACAGAGAGCCGCGGATTCCAGTGTTTGTCTGGCTTTCTCCTTTTTATTCAGTTCAGACCCTGCCCTATAGAATGCGTCGGCACATTTAGAATGGGCCTTCCCACCTCCAGTTGACCTTAGACCACACCTCTCAGGCTTGCTTGAAGGCCTGTCTTCTAGGTGATTCTAGAGCCTGTCAAGTTGATACTGTCCACCATCATACTCCCTCTACCCACAGACCGATGTACTTGATGACAACCGCCCCTTTTGAGTAGTAAGATAATTAAGTATAACTTGGAACAAGAGGGACAATACAAACTACACCAAGGGCTGTCTAGTAATTGGAGTTTCTCTCTGTGGTGTTAAAATGAGAACTTGGTGGTACCCAGAAAAATCCACACAAGTTGGACTGGTGATGTCACTTGCCACCGTAAGGATTCCCAGATAAGACCATCATTTGAGGTCAGAGCTCAGGCTGGATCCCGAGTCCTCCTGAAGTCATGGCTGGGAGGAGCGGATTCAAAAGACTTCATCCTTGTTGCTTTTTTCTCCCTTGCTGCCACCCCGATGTGAGTGCTGGCAAGGATGAGGAGGGAGAAGTGGAGGTTGGATTGTCGGTGAGTCACTGATAGCCCAATGCTCTCCTTTCAGAAGGTGATGACTTGATAAAGAACCATATATTTAGCAGGTGTGGGGGTGACATTTCATGTATATAATCTTGATTTCTCCCTATCTGCTGTGTGGCCAGTTATGGGGACTGTTACGTTTTGAATCCAAACATATTACCCCATAGTCTAATGTTTTGTATGATTGGTCCCAAGCTTGTGGTGCTATTCTGAAGGCAGTGAGCCCATGGGAGAAGGGACTGGGTGACAGACATAGTCACTAGGCAGGGGCCTCCGAAGGTTGCACCTGGCCTCTGGTTCCTGTCACACACTCCCTGCTTCTGGTAGTGAGTAGGAAATCTGTCAGGAAGTCGCAGTGGTTTAGAGTCTCTTCTGAAGATTAGACAGGAGCCTCAGGGAGAGACTTGGGTGACAGACATGAGAAAGCAGAGCATAATGTGTGATACCCACACAGGCTCTTAACGTAGCCTTATCAAATGATGATTGAGGCCATATTTTTATAGTTGTATCTTGACAGATTAAAATAGGGACAGCAGCCTGAGGCATATATTTGTAGTAGAATATTTGACTATACATGAAACCCTGGATTCAACACTGAGTACCACAGAGAGAAAAGAGAAAGCAAGGGAGAGAGAGAGAGAGAAAGAAAGAGAGAGAGAGAGAGAGAGAGAGAGAGAGAGAGAGAGGAATTTCCAAGGCTGGTAATTCACACGTGAGCTCAACAGGTATTATTCTTAAGAGTTCACAGCAGAGGGTAGATACAGAAGGCACCCTGGTAGTCCTCACTGCATGTACTCAGCTGGAGAGCAAGGGGATAGCTTGGTAGTAGAACATTTGACTGTTAGTGAGGAACCAGGCAATTCCCAGACGACTTGATTGACATTGGAACACCAGGTGGTACTACTGCGTTCCTTAGAGTCTGGAAAATCAGGTGGAAAGTGGGAGAGTCTGGGGGTTTGTGTGCTTTGGGAGGGGGCTGAGGGGGATGGGCATATCTGCTGATGCCTGGCTAGGGGACAGACATAATATAAGTATTATATTTGCTTGGTGATGTTAAGGAGGACCAGAGAATTGTTCTTCATGACTGGTGGTGGGAAGGATGTTCAAGGACTGTCCAAGAGGACCTTCCATGTTAAGTTTCACCCCCTGGGTTTTGTAGCAGCAGTGTGGGCTCAGGTGTCACCGTCATCTCTATAAGTTTTCTTCTAGCCTTCACCTCAGATGGCAGCCATCTTGGTTACTTTTGATCCTTGCAGCAGTAAAATACCTGCTCAAAACAACTTAAGTTGGGGTTAATTTGGCTCACACTTTGAGGACACAGTTCAGGGAAGGAGAGGCCTAAAAGAGGGAGCTGGTCACATCGTGGCCCTGTCAGCTCACCATGTCCTGTTCTGGGGCAGCAACTCACATAATGGTGACTCTCAATTTGTGGCTTTCCTATCCCACTTAATCCAATCTAGAAACTCCCTCCTAGGCATATCCTATCTCCTGGGTGATTCTAGACACTTTCAGAGTGACAGTCATTATTAACCATAACAGTGGCTAAAGAGAGGCTAGGCACCCCTAGATTCTGGCCAGTTCAGGATTGGACTCTGTCAGCATATAGGTGTACAGACTGCAATTTACTAACCTCAGCTGTCCATTTTCCAATCGGATGTTGGTATGGGTTTCCCAAGAGGATTCTGAGCAGCTGGGCCACCCATGACCCTGAGGTAGCCCATCTGTCTGTCTTTAGAGTCATCTATTGTTTTCTTTCCAGTGGTTGTGGAGTCGGACTTTGTGAAATATGAAAGCAAGAGTGAGAACCATAAGAGTGGAGCTATCGGCACGGTCGTGGGGAAGGTCAAGTTGAATGTTGGTGGCAAAGGCCTGGTGGAGAGTCACTCTTCATTTGGAACCCTGAGGAAGCAGGAGGTGGACGTGCAGCAGCTCATCCAGGATGCCACTGGGAGGTGAGGGAAACTCTGCTCTGCATGCTGGGGGTAAGGGAAACTTTGTTCTGCTTGCTGGGCCTTTACATGTCTTATGGCTAAAGGTCATTTGATTGGACCTCTGCCAAAAAGCTGGTGTATGTAGACTCTACCAAAAAAAAAAAATGTATTGAATGCCAGTAGTCCCGGATGTCCCACCTCTATTTTCTGCCTAAGCCATAGACCATAGGCTTATAAATTGACTGGGGATATATCCATACAATACATAAAATATTCTTTCTACAGTGGGCAGATTTAGTCCAGGCCAGACAACATTAGACTTCAAAGCTAAGCTCCTGTAACTGCCTTGCTTACTGACTATGAAAAAGCACTACTGTGTATTTGACACTCCCTGGGTCTTCCTGGGACTCCCCCAGGACCTTGCTATTGTGGGTCTCAGTGGTGGTACTGGGTAGGAGGCGCTGACACTCAGTGGTTGATCTTAGTTTCCTTCCTCTGTTGCTCTTTGCAACAGGGGCACTGTCCTCTCCCTGCAATGGATGCTGGGGAGTATGTGGTTTTTTTTCACTCTTGAAATACAGAATTTTATTTAAAAACTGTTTAAAGTAGAAAAAAAACCCTGTCAAGAAAGACCAGGTGGAAAATGGTTTCCCAAATAAAATGGAATTTGGGGGCAACAGAAGTCTGAAAGGCCACAGAGGAGAAACAGCACCGCTGTCATTTGAACAATGGCTAGTTACTTGCTTTCTTTTTTCTTTTTTCTTTTTTTGGCATTGTTAATCACTGAATCTTGATTTCCCTCTGACTTCCACAGAGCATGCACTACATAACAATCTGTCATAAAAACCTGTTTTCTACACACAGTGTAAGACAAGCTACCACCAGAAACAAATCAATACAAATACATCGGGCTGAACAATCTCAGTAGTGGGGAACACATTTTGCAGCGTTCTGCCAAAAAAAAAGGAACTGAACAGGCTGTGGGTAACACAAATGACGGAGAACTAAGCAGTGAAGTATTTTAAATATTAATATTTCAGTCATGGTACTGTATATTCTTTAAAAAACAAAAACATTTTAACATTTAGTAACACACTAAAGACTTTTATCTCCAAAGAGATTAGTGCACTGGCAAAGTACTCAGGTGACAATGGGGAGCTGTGAACAGCAGACAGCGAGCACCCTAGCCTCACAGAGCCTGAGGTGACAATGGCCTTCACTGATCACTCCTTTGCCAGAGGTCCAGCAAGAACTTGCAGCACGATCAACTGCCTGCTGTATTTAGAACACTCAGCAGCAAACTTAAGGAGCCAGAGGAGTTCCCAGAGGTCAAAGGGAGCAGAGAAGAGAACGCGTTAAATGTAAACTTGAAAGACAGTATGCTGGGACTCAATGCCCACTCAAATCCCAGAGATGTGGACAGGTCCCAGAAACAGAATACACAGGAACTTGGGAGACAGTTAGAAAGAATCAGAGGACTGCTTGCTTGATGGACAGCTGAGCTCTGAGCTCTTTGCCTCAGGCGCTGCAGGGCCGAGGCACCCTCTAGTCACCCAAGCAACCATGCTGCTTGTTTTTATAGCAGGGATGCAACTGGTCAATGACACAAAATGGCTTTACAGAACTTTTCAAACTTTACTTCTGGGCCAAAGTCTACATCTGTAAGATTCAAGCAGCCTTAAAAGGCCTACGACAGCAGGTTCCAAAGGGTCTAAAGTCTGGCCCTTCCTTCCCAGACACAATGTTAAACACATAAAATCTCCTGTCATGTTATACTTTATATGTTGAAATATGGAAGCATATTTTAAATACTCTTAAGGCATTTATTTATTAAAACGTTCTCTGCCAGAATTTTATATTAGCTTAGAATTCAATTCAGTGTTTACACTTCTGAGGTTGTCACCTCTTGTGTTGTAAACCCCCTTCTCCATCAGTCAGTGTGACCAGCATCCACATGAAGAGCCCCATGGTTGGCCTCTTGTTCCCCTGGTGAACCAACTAGATATTAATACTGCTCTGCCACAAGGCAAAAGATCCTAACTCAAACTCGTCAGAAAAGCTGAGACTTCTGCAAAGCGCACTTTGAAGAAGAGGTACTTTTTGCTTATGAAAAGAAACCAGTGAATCCTCTAAGATTAATAAAAGGGGGTATTTAACAGTTAAGCACGTGATTTGGAGTGAAGACTTCAGATGTTGCTCTGCTGGTCCAGGCTGCCTAATATTCTTCTTGTTCCTCCTGTGGGCCCCTTCATCAGGTATCACAAAGCCTTCATCTGTGGCATAAAGAATATCTACAATCCTCTGCAGTACAGGGTCATTTTCCCCCTCATTCTCCTGGCAAATCAGTTCAATGTTCCTTAGCTTTCCGAAGTAGAAGTCTCTCTCCTTCTCCAAGTCTTCAACAGTAAGCTTCAATACTTAAACCTGCTGCATCAACTCAGCTGCTTCACCATCTCCATTGCCCACGCCAGGATTCTTCCGCACCGTCCCAGGGCCAGCCTTAGGCGCTGCAGTAGTCCTCTGTGCTTCAATGGGTTTCTGAGGGGCTGCACTACTGGAGCCGAGAGGTTTCTTCGGTTTACTCAAAGCTGGAGCGACAAGAGAAGGAGCCACTGCAGTTTCTTGACCTTGTCTGGCAGCTACAGGATCATACTCTTTTCCATCATAATTTGCATCAAAAAAACTTCTTGAACCATTGAACTAATTCAAAATTGTCCTGAAATTTTCCTTTTACTAATTTATCCACAGGAATTATTTTGTCAACGCCCATCCTCTTGAAGCCTGCTTGTAGTATTTTGAAGTCCTGGATATACTCATGTTCTAGCTTAGCTTGGAATTTCCCTTTCTTCAAGGCAATGGAGCCAGGGAAGAGCATGTCCATAAACTGACAGTATGCAGCTCCTGAACACAACTGTTCTATCTTTGTCAGATTTAACTGCAGAGATTCGTTGATCCAAGCTAGCATGTCACGTCGACTTAGGTTATCACTGGTGACTGACGTCGAGTACACGTTCACCGCCATCTTCGGGTCTCACAGAACTCGCGTCCGCTGTCTGCGCGCCCGGCTCCGGTTCCATCTTCGTCTCCGGAGTATGTGTTTATCAGCAATCAAAATGTAATTGGGCAATGCTAATTTTCTTTGCTAACTCTGGTGACGCTGTCCATGGAGGCCGGAGGACAGGAAGGCTGGACGGGCCCTGGGCCTCTTACTTTTTACCATCTGAAGTCCTCTTTACTCTGTACCCATCCCTTCTTAGCTTCAGAGTGCAGTGTTGTCATTTCTATTTCAGGAACCGAGAGTTAGGCAATGCCCTGCAATCACGTATCCTGTGAGAGGATTTTTAAAGGAAGTCTTCATGATTCAGGTGTTAAAAACTACTGTGAACAGGAAACATGGTGTGGATGGGGGAGGGGGAGGGCTACCTGTGAGAAAAACCTGTAAGTGAGAACAGAGAGAAGAGGACAACCGTAGGACACCTACTCTGTGTCAGGCAAATGGGTATTTATTGCCTCATTCTCTGCACAGTTGACTGCTCTAGTGATGAGGGAATCGAATAGTTTGTTCCCAGAGAGCTCAAGTTGGGCACTGAAGCCCGCATTCAACTTATTTTCTTGGTGCCAAGCCTCCTTTTCTTTCCTCTAAATCTTCCTTGAATTGGTAGCAATAAAAGTGGTCTAGGTGTGACGTGGAGTACCCCGAGGGTGCTGCTGGGTGAAGCATGAGAATGGGCCCTGTCTTCAGCAGGGGTTTAGGAAGAGTCAGGCCTGCTGCCTTGGGTATGCCTGGACAGACTGAGATCACGGGGGAAGACGGTTCACCCATTAACTGCAGGTGTGATGGAGAAGAGATGGTCCTGGGAGTAGTAGCTGAGACATGAGGAGCGTAGTAAGGAATACATGTCAGGACACAGCCAAGGTAGGATGCATAATCAGCATGTGTGGGGCTTCCTTTCTACCCCCAATACTGCAAAACAGAAAAAAAAAAAAGATACAGCACCTAGAACCCCAGGAGGTGCCTTATCACTGAGTCCTCCTAAGTGCTGCTCTTTGCTGAGAGCTAAGGGTGTGCTACCTGGGAAGGAAGGAGAGGTACTTTCCTACTCTCAAGACAGATGCCAATCAAGCTGCCATTCCCGTGACTTCATACTAGGGTAATAAATCCTTATCGTGTGGTTTGCCTGACTGTCTTTGGATTCCTGGAGTCCAAAGACATCATCAGGATTGATAAGGATTGCTGTGGATGCAGCTGTGTCCTTGGACGCATTAAGGAGTGATGCCTCAGTACCGCATGTTCTCGAGCAGCCACCCATTTTTATTTCAGTTGTATAGATAAGGTATCATCTGTATGCAAGTCTTCTAGGCTCTAAAACCCCTAAGTACTAGAGCTGGTATGTAGTTTGTGATTGTCGTTCACTTGCTGAGCTTGCTTGAGGCCCCAGGGTTGATCTAGGCAGCACCAGAAGAAAGAAAGAAAAAAACCCTCCAGGTATTAATTGTGTTGCCTGTTAAATGCACCCAGATCTTAAACTCCATTCTCTCGTTAAAATATACCCATGTATTTAAAAGAGTCATTTGGAATTTGGGGAATCATGCTTACAGGTACTGGGAGCTGATTGCTTTTAAAGAGTCCTGGGTTTAACTTTAAAATTCTTAACAGATACTATCCTAACCTACATGACCTAACCTTCAATTTCTTTAAATTGAGACTAACAAATGTATCGAGAATTTTCATAACAATTCAGATTTGTGTTTTAGCCTTCGTATCTAGTGTTATTCCATAACAACTCTCTATAAAGGTTTTGCAATGTCTTCTGTCATCCACCTGCCACTTCTCACTGTCTCAGCATAACAGCTTCACCTCACACCACCTCCACCGGCAAGCTCAATACTGCCTCAAACCTCCCAGAATCTAGAGAACCTCATTCTTGGTAAATAACTTGGACAGACTTAGTAAGTCATGCCAGCCTCTGGCCTTAGTCTTCTCAGGCTTGACGGTCTTTGGGAACTCCCTCTGAAATGTC